CATACCATTTTACAAGAGGAAGTATCAATGTCCAGGTAGTCCTATTATCCACAGGTATTCCCTTAAAATTTCTATAATTAAAGTATTATTTTATTTGTCATAACATTAGATAACTAGATGAGATTCCTCTATACATAAAAGAGAACTATACCATAAATGAGATTCCTCTATACCATAAATAGAACACAGCATATAAAATTGAGGCTCACAGCTATTACTAGGTATTCTTTACAACTGCCCTATTCTAATATATAAAAAGCCAGTGGCCGTCACGACGGAAACAACCAGACAGACGACCGAACAGCAGACTGTGTGAGGTGACCAGTCCTGCAGGGGGTTAGTGAGGGACAATCAAACGACTGAACAGCAGGCTGTGTGAGGCGATCAGGACAGCAGAGGGGGGCAGTTGGGCCTAAACTGGCAGTCAGACATCCCCCGAGGGGTCCCGGATTGGAGAGGGTGCAGGCTGGGCTGAGGGGACCCCCCATGCACAAATTTCATGCTCTGGGCTTCTAGTGGGTTATATAAAACAATAAGCACAGGTAATAGTTATCTAACAGGGGAATGGAAATGTTTCCTTAACTTCTATCATTTTTCATGGTAATTTACTGAAATAAGTTGGAGATGAAAAAAAAGAAGAGGAGAAGAAGAAAGAGAGAAGGAAGGGAGAAAGGAAGGAAAAGAAGGAGGGAGTATAAGTTTCCCCTATTTCTATAGCCAGGAATACCTTTGCAATCTTGGTTCCTAGATGTAATGCAATGTAAGGAAAACACATCAAGTTTTATAAATGTTAAGTCTGTGCAGACTCAATCAAAGGACCTATATAATTATTAAAATTAGCCCACCTGTCCCATTTCTTTATAGAATTCATTACTACCTGTCAAGCAAGTACAAAATATGTGTTTCATCCTAATATAAGTAACCTACTTAATTCTTATTTGCCTTTGAAACATGAGACATCAATATATAAGTGCTTTAAGTATGTTTATTTAAATTAAATTTATTTTATCATAATTTCTGTTTCCTCATGTTAGAAATACACATAATTTGAGAAATTTAAAACAGTTTATATTCAACATTACCATGATTATAATAATTTTATAATATATATTTAATATTCTAAATGTGTAAATTTAAAAGGTTTATTTTCATAAATTATGAAAATACTGTTGGGGTCCAACCCCAGCAGGTCCAGGGGTTCCCAAAGGTGTGGACAGAGTTGGCAAAGAAGGAATGACACGGAGACAGCGTTCAGTTGATCAGCATAGCTAGATTCTCTAGCCAGGTTCTCTTGCCAGATTCTCCAGCCAGGTTCTCTCTTTATTCGCCTGTTACATCTGTACTTATACCAGGTGATTTTAATATTATCCATTCTATTCCAAAAGTTAGGGCGTTTGTTATCTTTATTCCAAGGTCACTACTCTATTGTTCTGTTAAGCTACAAGGAAGTAACTGAAGGAGATTATCCTAAGTAAAGATTATGTAGCTTAAGCCTGATTGTTTGTAGTTAAAGTGATTAATTACCTGCCTGGCACTTAGTTAAGGGGTTTTACTGATTTATTCCCTCCCTTAGTCCTGTTAATCCCTAACTACAGGGAAAAATCCCCACCTGGGGAAACAACCTATCTCAGAGAGGTGACCTTGGTTAAAACACATAGCACTAAGAAGGGGAGCAAACATATTAAGAACAGCATGCCATATACTCCAGGTCCCTTGAAACATATGCTGTGCAGATGTTTCTTCTCTGCAGCGACTGTGTCAAGCAGCAAGGATGGACCGGCTTCCGGCAAAATACTGCTACATTAAGAATTTACCAACCAAGAGCTAAAATTCTTTGTCTCTCAAATAGGAATAGGAAAACAACTAAACCAACTTTGGACACTGCTACAACATATGTCAATTATTCATGCAGTGTGCATGACAAGAAATAAATTATCATAATAATTTATGTTTAAGATAAATACGTTATGATAAAATTCTATGAATTTTTATAATAAGATCTAGAACAGGTGGATTAGGTATGATAAATAATGGCATTTTTGTGGTGGGAGATTTTTTTATAGCATGCCAGTAATCAACAGTGGCCAGCAAATGATTAGATACTCCATGACAGATATAAAATTACAAGTTTCACTATAATGCCAATTCATAGAAGAAAATTTAAGAAAACACATTATTAGTAAACTTATAGATGATTCTGACTTTAAAATGACACCCAGCTAGTGCGCTTCAGATAGTTCTAAAAAATTAATCATTATTAATGAAAGATTTATTCAAAAAATGGCATGGGTCCACAAAAACTGCCTGGTAACAAAGGCATTTTGCTTTCTAAAGCATTTATGTATACTTGTTTAAACTATATACAACTAGGTCATTCCCCAGGAAGTCTAACTCAGTAGATGTGCAATGGGCCAAGGGCTTTGCACACCATTTTGTAATTGTTCAGCTGCAAAACTTTCAGAAATCCTTATCCACACCAGACATTGTTTCCATCTTTATATGCATGTCATTGGGCAGTGGGCATATCAGTAATAAAGTTATTGCAGTTAAAAAGTTAATTTACTATAGATATGTTAAAATGAATTTTTTTCTGTACCCAAAATACATTTAATACTCTGACCTCCACTACAAAAATTATTTCCAAAGTTGTGCATTCATTAACATATTAACAGATTCATGAAACAAAATTTATAATAAACTATTCTCCCCTCAGTAAGTTATACATTTTCCTGACATTTTGCACATCAAAATTTAAAAACATGGAAATTTTATCCATGTCATTTGGCGATTCACAAGAATAAAAACTGTAAAGAGCACTTGACTCTCACATGGATTATGGCAATGATGACTTATGATCTCCTTCAAATGTTAGAAAAGCAATGAACTAGGCTGTATGTACGTATTTGTCAGTTCATAGACTTGTTTACATGAAGATGCTGAAAGCTTAATTTATTACTGGTGTACTTTGTGAGCTACCTCAATGATTTTACCTATTTGAAATGCACGAACTATCCCAACTTTGAGCACAGCCAGATAAGAAAAGTGCTGAAGCAAATCTGATTTGAATATGTAAAGCACCAGACACATGACATGCCTACTTAGAGTACTAAAGAGTCAAATAAGGTACTAGCTTATATCCTTAAATCCATTTACTTACCATCATTTTGATGCTCATTTTGTCATGAACGTCAACTTAAATTTTTCGTGAGATAATTTACAGAAGACAGTAATAGGTTATTTTGTTTGCTTAGCCTACATATAAAATACTTTAGCCTAAAAAATAATGAAACAGAAAGCTAAGAGTGCCCTGTGCTCTCTCTTGGACAGATAGGCAAGCTCTGGCTTTTGAGCTACCAGACTACTCTTCAAATATTAAGATCAATCTTGTTCCCACTCATTAGCTATGGGGCATTGGGAACCAATAAAACTATACATTTCTGTAGCATAAAAATATTAAATATAATTTTATTGTTCCTCTTAGTCTTTAAATAATTTTTGTATACATTGATTTCTTTCATTCTCAAACCCATCAAGGATACAAAATTGGTTATGTTGCAAATTTTTACCATAATTCACAAAATATTGCATATCAAAAGAAAAATATAATAACACCAAGTTTTTATATGTTAACCATTAATTTTTATTTCTGAATATCCTATTTATTCTTTTTCAAGTAAAATGATATTTTTTAAAACTTATAAATCTTAGGATCACTAAGATTTTATATTTCTATTTTGTCGGAAATATAGTTTCTGTCAAGTGTCTCTTACCCATGATGATACAGTTTAATTTTCTCTCTCACATCCTTTTGCTTTCTTCTAATGACTTTTATCTGTTGTTTAATAGAGCATTTCTCTACTTTGGTGGCAATTTATATTTTAGTCAATCTCTATGCCTATCATTCTGACCCATAATAAACACCCAATAAGTTCCTGATTTATAAGTGCATGAATAAATGAAAGAATTTTTTAAAATACTAACTCATTTGGAACATATATTGATGAACCAATGTATGAGTATGCATTTTTTCATCTTTCAATAAAATCCTAGGTTTAATCTTTTCTAGGCGAATAAAGTTGCTGACTAGCTCTGTGTTGGAAGAACTAATAAAGTGTGTCCCACATGCCTTATAAATATCAACTCATTTATTCCTTTTTACAACTTTATGAGTTTATGAGGAAGCTGAGGGAAAAAAAGGTGAAGTGACTTGTTCAACAAGATCCAAGAACTAATAAGTGGCAGAACCAGGAACTAAAGCCAGGCATAGCGGGGCCCATACTTCTCAAAATTTTTGTTAGTGAAAAAAGTAATTAACTTTCATCTTAGTATAATTATTTAAAAGTAAAATTTTATCTTAATTGCACGGAAAGTTTTCCAAACCAGTTGAAATTCTAATTTAGTAAGTTGATTGTTTATACATAATCATATAAAAGTTGTTCATCCATATGCTCTTTCTTTGCTCTTTCCTTTGGCAATTTCTTGATGCTTGCATTCATTCTTACTAACTTAAGTGTCAGTATTGCTAATGTTTTGACATTTTTTAGAAAAATACTTTCTTAAAAGCACCTACTCAATGTTACCAATTAACTTTGTTGATGTGAAATAGAGTAAAAACAGAGATTTTTATACTTAACTTTGGAATCACACACATACAAAAAAAATAGATCACACATTTTTAAATGAAGAATCTAGTATTTCTCAGAAATGTCTTTGAACAGAATATAGGCTTTCTTGTGACATTTATAAATTCAATAATAAGGATAAATAATTGTGTATGCTATATAAACAAACATTACATGGGAGCACAATGCAATTAAATTGTATGGTGTCCGTTTACCAAAAGATTTTCCGGTATCACAGAATTTTCTGAGAAATAAAAAAAAAAAGATGCTTTGTTCAAACACATATTATAGAAATGATTTGTACTATAAGAAAGTTAAGGGACAATTAAACATTCATTTTGAATAATAAACATAAAACTTTCAGAGATATTTCCTTACCTGTTTTATTGGAAAGTCTAAATGATACCATCTTATCAGGAATATTACATACATTCCTCACTGACGCAATGCAGCTATAATTAGCATAGTCCTGAGGTCGAAGATTCTTTAGTTTTAAGATCTTTGTTTCACCCTGAAAATGTGAAAAAGGGCATTAGAAAAAGTCAATAGTAATCAAGATGAATGAATGAATGAATCATGGCATTATATTGTACTAAATCATATTATTAGCAGAATTTTGTAGATTTTGTTTTTAAAAGGAAAATGCCAACTTTGAAAGTAGAATAACTTTGAAAGATAATGAAGTCAACCTAAATATATATAATTAATTTATATACATAAATATTTTGTGAATATGGAGCAATGACAGAATATAAATCTAAAACAATAAATAAGTATTCATGACTGTAGCTATATTATTATTGTTGTTGTTATTTACATTCAAGAGTTCAAGGTCTAGGAGTCCCAGATAAATCTGCAAAATTGCAAATAGACTCAACTAAGGCAAGTGACCAGAAATACCATATAAACTATTGATTAGCAAGAAAACCATGAAAGAAGACTGAAATTGTTCAAATAGCAAAAATACTACACAAAGAACAATGATAAAAAGAAAAAACAAAAAACAACTCCTGCCCAATTCAAGTAGGTTTCTTGGGAATTATTTTCCTTCCAAAGTCTATGCATCTTCTTAAAATAGCAAAAGAGTTGCTCTCATAAGTAACTGAATTGTGAAGATGATAAAACAGTATCTCAATGACATCAGATTTGGTAAAGCAATTTTTAAAATGTTAATTTTTTTCTAGATGACATCTGTATGAAACCATGTTTCTTTTATTTTACTTCAGTAATATCATTTAAATCCAAAAAATTACAGCTCTTGCATACAATCCTCAAAAGGATCAGAACACTTAGTGATGATACATAAAGACGGTGCCTGTTCATTTGCAAAAAATCCCCCCAAAAACAAAAACAAAAACACCAGCTTGCTCACACATAGGCAGGCGCACAGAGGTTTCCAAATGTATCAAATGAATATCTTTCTGTGTGCATGAGCTTTGTGGCCATGATTCCTGTCATTCACTGTCAAAACCCACTCTTAACTCAGTCACATCTTTAGCATTTTCATCTGTAGTATAAGCAACAATCTTCTCTCTTAATTTTTCTTTAGAAAATGCATTATATTTTTTTTCTCCACAAATACATATACACTCCACACAAATATACACAGTCAGTGTGTGTTTTTGGAATTTACATTTAAAACAATTTATCACTGTATTATAGAGTTATAATTTATGCTAATTATATATAATGCCTAGAAATGTATGCTTAGTTAGAAAGCATAGTTGAAAGACAATGTTATATGAGAACTAGTTGATTCAGGTAATTTTCAAATGAGTGGATGTATCTTATTCCTCCTACCTCTGTGACATTCTATTTATTTTATAGTTAATCTCACTATAAAATTCCTCTAGGTGATCTTAGACTTGTTGATGAATTTCTACTATAAGCCCTTACTCCTCCAACCATTCTATCAAGTCTGTATCCCTATTCCAGGGTTCTCCCTATAGTTTCAGATACATATACCAATTTTTTACTTGAACAGGTTCATTCTGATGTCTCACAGACACCTAAAACTCAACATATTCCAAATTGAACCAAGACCACTTCTCAAAATCTACTGTTATATTTTTAGTAACATAAATCTTAGACTTTTGATTACTACTTCTTTGTAGTCAATATCTTCCTCTCAGATCCTTTTATTGACCGTTTTTGTTGTTGCTGTTGTTAATCCTCACTGGAGGATATTTTTTCCACTGAATTTTTTTTAATATATATTTTATTGATTTTTTTTTACAGAGAGGAAGGGAGAGGGATAGAGAGTTAGAAACATCGATGAGAGAGAAACATCTATCAGCTGCCTCCTGCACACCCCCCTACTGGAGATGTGCCCACAACCAAGGTACATGCCCTTGACCGGAATCAAACCTGGGACCCTTGAGTCCGCAGGCCGACGCTCTATCCACTGAGCGAAACTGGTCAGGGCTTTTCCATTGATTTTTGAGAGTGAAAGGGAGGGTGAGAGGAGAGAGAGAGAGAGAGGGGGGGGGGAGAGAGAGAGAGAGAGAGAGAGAGAGAGATACATCAATTGGTTGCTTCTCGCACATGCCCTATGAAGTCTAGATACACAATTTCCTAGTGATTCAGTTAACATAGGATTGGAGAGTTGTTTTGTATGAATTAAGATTATTTATATCTTGTATTCAGAAAAAAAGATACCAAAATGTGTGACCCTACAGTACAGTCAGCTAGGTTAATTTGTAAGATTAATCTGTGTAGCATGTCAAAGAGGCAGAGGGGCTAATACAGCCACAGTATATTGAAGAAATGTAGAAAACAGACAGAGTTATGGAAGAATTTAAACCTTACGCACTTAATTAACTTACCACATTCAGATAATGATAAAGACATTCAAGATGACCCTCTTCCTCTCAATAAACAGCTCCCAAAGTTATGCTACCAAATAGCGTGTGTGTTCATGTAGAGATATATTTACTATTTAGACTTTATAACTTAAAATTGTTATATCACTTAACATCAATTTTTATTTTGGTGAGCATATACATTTAATATTCTGTGATGTTCGAAGTCTTTTTGCATGTGAATTTCCATGATTTCTAAAGGAAATTTTCAGTTGATTATTGTCTAATTGTATAAGTAGTCTAATTAGTCTAATTATAACTAATTATGTAATTGATTTAAATATGTTCAGTTATAATTAGATGTTTAATTACAATACACAATATGATGTCATGAACATCTTTTTAAAAGTTCTAGGAAAATAGCAACAGTATGTATAGTTTGTAAAATTTAAGTACATATTTCTTTAACATTCACAAAAATTAATTTCAAAACCTATATTTAAACTTTTAAAACTACTTTTTTTAAAATAAAAGAAATAAAGAAAAGGCATCCTACCTAATAAAAGAGAAACATGGTAATTAGCCGTACATCCGCCACTCTTCCCATCGGCTAATCAGGGTGATATGCAAATTAACTGCCAGCCAAGATGGAGGCCGGCAGCCAGGCAGCTTGAAGCTAACATGAGGCTTGCTTGCTTCAGTGATGGAGAACTCTGAGCTTGCAGTTTGAAACATTGTTACAAATATAGAAGCTAAACAAAACCCCAGAAACCTGCTTTCAGCCAGTCGGGATCTCAGAGCTGGAGTTGATACAGTGTTTCGATTATAGAACCCAAACAAACCAGATACCTGCTTTCAGCAGCAGAGGCCTCAGAGTTGGAGCAGGAGCTAAAGCTGGCCCAGAATAAAAAAAAAAAAAAGAAAAAAAGGAGCGGTTGGGAGCTTCTGTCACCCGCCAGCCTGAAAACAGCCCTCAGCCCCTCACCCAGACTGGCCAGGCACCTCAGTGGGGACCTCTACCCTGAAGGGTGTGTGACTAGCTGCAAACAGCCATCATCCCCTCACCCAGGCTGGCCAGGCACCTCAGTGGGGACCCCCACCCTGATCCAGGACACCCTTCAGGGCAAACCAGCTGGCCCCCACCCATGCACCAGGCCTCTATCCTATATAGTAAAAGGGTAATATGCCTCCCAGCACCGGGATCAGCAGAGCCGAGAGGCCTCCCGGCACCTGGATCAGCATGACAGGGGGCAGTGCCCAAACCCCCTGATCACCCTGCAGCTCTGTGTGTGACAGGGGAGCGGTGCCCCAACCCCCCAATCAGCCCTAACCTGAGCGTGACTGAGGGTGGCATCGCAACCTCCCAATCCGCCCTGCTCTGTGCATGACAGGGGGCGGTGCCCCAACTCCCCAATCGGCTCTGCTCTGAGCCCAACCAAGAGCTGCACCTAGGGATTGGACCTGCCCTCTGCCACCCGGGAGCAGGCCTAAGCCAGCAGGTCGTTATCTCCCAAGGGGTCCCAGACTGCGAGAGGGCACCGGCCGGGCTGAGGGACCCTCCTTCCCCCACTGAGTGCACAAATTTTTGTGCACCGGGGCTCTAGTTCTCTATATTTGTCAGTAGCCATTACCAATGGTGATATTTTCTATAAAATAATAACCATAGCCTTAAGCAGTTTTTCTATTTAATTATGAATATGGAACTTTTAAATATATGTATTTTAAGATATCAGTAAAGAAAGACTTCCAACTCATACTGATATTTTACAACTTCAATTGTAACTTATTAGAAACTTATAGATAGCAATGTATGCTAGACTACATCTTTAGTATTGAGTGGAAGTATGAAAAGCATAATTATTCTCTTTAGACTTATTACATAACTAGAGGCCTGGTGCACAAAAATTTGTGAACTCAGGGGGGGTCCCTCAGCCCGGCCTGTGGCCTCTTGCAGTCTGGGACCCCTCGGGGGATGACCACCTGCTGGCTTAGGCCCGCTCCCTAGGGGATTGGGCCTAAACTGGCAGTCAGACATCCCTCTGGCAGCCCGGGAGCCCTCAGGGAATGTCCACTTGCCAGTGGGGAGCAGGCCTAAGCTGCAGTCAGGCATCCTTAGTGCTGCTGAGGAGGTGGGAGAGGCTCCCGCCACCTCCGCTGTGCTGGCAGCTGTTAGCCTGGGTTGTGGCTGAGCAGAGCTCCCCTGGTGGGAGCTCACTGACCACCAGGGGGCAGCTCCTGCATTGAACGTCTGCCCCCTGGTGGTCAGTGTGTGTCATAGTGACCAGTCATTCCCAGTCTTTCTGCTGTTAGGGTCAGTTTGCATATTACCCTTTTATTATAAAGGATAGAGGCCTGGTGCACGGGTGGGAGCTGGCTGGTTTGCCCTGAAGGGTGTCCCAGATCAGAGTGGGGGTCCCGCTTGGGTGCCTAGCCATCCTGGGTGAGGGGCTGATGGCTGTTTGAAGGTTGGTCAAGCCCCACAGTGGGGACCCTCACCCCATGGGAGTGTGGCCAGCCTGGGTGAGGGGCTGAGGGTTGTTTGCAGTCTGGCCACAGACCCTTCAGGGTGGGGAGCCCTACTGGGGTCCCTGGCCAGCCTGGGTGAGGGGTTTATGGCCGTTTTCAGGCTGGCCATGGCCGCTGGCTGGAAGCAGGTATCTGGGATTTATTTATCTTCTATAATTGAAACTTTGTAGCATTGAGCGGAGCT